CCTCTCTGTAGGGACAGAGGTAAATTTTATAAAGCATCTCGCCTTATATCTCTCACACACACATTTAGCTGAAAATAAGGTTGGTGTTTGTCATTCATATCTCCTTGTACTTGGGCGGGGCGCCCCGAGTCAGCACTGGCTAAGGTTCTCCCAGCAGCCGGTCCCATGCCAGACCCGAAGGGCTTATCATCCAGGGTGCTCTCCACTCGGGACTCTGTCTCCCAGAGAAGCCAGCGTGGTCCCCTGGCCGGAGCCCACCCCACACGCAGTGAATACGGGCAGTTAGAAGGGTCGGTCCAGAGCTTGTGGTGCTGGGGGCTCAGAAAACAGGGCGCAGCAGGGGTAAGAAACAGGCGGTGTGTTTGCGCCTTGAGCCAGCAGGAGTGTCTGTCTGCATGAGTTTCTGGGACTGAGCAGAGAGACTGGGGGTTCCCTGGGTGAGGACCAGGGCCCTGCGGAGCCCATTGTCTGGCCAGGAGTGACTGTCTGTCCTGGGGCCAGAAATCTCACCCCCTTCCCTTCCCTATTTGTTTCCTTCCTCAGGGTCCACTGAGGAGCCACCTCCCAGTGTGCCCCCTCCTCCCCCTGAGCCACCAGCTGGGGCCCCAGCTCCCACCCCACGCCCCGAGGAGCGGCCCTCCTCCCCTATCCCCCTGCTGCCCCCACCCAAGAAACGGCGGAAAACAGTCTCCTTCTCTACCACGGAGGAGGTCCCGGCCCTGGACCTGCCCCCGGTCACCCCACCGCAGGTCAAGTCCCCTGCCCCGGTCTCTCGCAAAGTCCCCCGAGGCGTGGAGCGGACCATTCGCAACCTGCCACTGGACCATGCGTCTCTGGTCAAGAGTTGGCCTGAGGAGGTGTCCCGAGGAGGCCGAGGCCGGGCTGGAGCCCGAGGCCGAGGCCCCGAGGAAGACGAGGCTGAGCCTGGGACAGAAGTGGACCTGGCGGTGCTGGCCGACCTGGCCCTGACCCCGACTCCAGCCCGCCGGGGGATGCTAGCCCCACTGACCGGCGACGACTCAGAGGCCACCGAGACATCAGACGAGGCAGACCGCCCGACCCCACTGCTCAGCCTCATCCTCCTGGAGCACAACTATGCCCTGGCCGCCAAGCCCACCCCCTCCACGCCCACCCCGAGGCCTCCGGAGCAGCTGCCCGCCCCCGTGGCCCTCTTCAGTTCCCCAGTGGATGAGGTCCTGGAGGCCCCCGAGGTGGTGGTGGCTGAGGCCGAGGAGCCCAGGCCGCAGCCGCAGCCGCCCCCGGAGGAGGAGGAGGGGTCATCCGAGTCCTCTGAGAGCAGCAGCAGCAGCAGCAGCAGCAGCGACGGAGAAGGGGCCCTCCGGAGACGCAGCCTGCGCTCCCACTCTCGGCGACGCCGGCTGCCGCCTCCCCCGACCCCCCCACCGCCACCCACCTTCGAGCCCCGCAGTGAGTTTGAGCAGATGACCATCCTGTATGACATTTGGAACTCGGGCCTGGACGTGGAGGACATGGGCTACCTGCGGCTGACCTACGAGCGGCTGCTGCAGCAGACCAGCGGGGCTGACTGGCTGAATGACACCCACTGGGTCCACCACACCAATATCCTGAGCTGTCGGGCAGGCACAGGCCCGGGCAGGTGGGTGGGTGGGGACACCCGGGCTCCCATGGTCTCTCCAGAGCCCTCCCTGGGGTCTACCTCCTCCTCTCCTCTCTGCCACTGGCCACCCTGGGGGGTGCCTGCTGTGGCCACTCACCCCTTTCTCAGCCACGGGCCTCTTTTTCTGCCTCCTGGAAGTTTCCTGGCAAAAAGGGTAGTGGGGTTGGGGATTTCTCGGTCTGTCCCGCCCTGCCTGTGCTTGGTGGGGCCCCTTCCTTGGGTAGCTGCACATTCTCTTCCTTAACACCCTGCACTCACCAACCTGAACACTCCCAAGCGCAGGCGGCGGCCCCAGGACGGGCCCCGGGAGCACCAGACGGGCTCGGCCCGCAGCGAAGGCTATTACCCCATCAGCAAGAAGGAGAAGGACAAGTACCTGGATGTGTGCCCTGTCTCTGCCCGGCAGCTAGAGGGCACGGACACTCAGGTGGGGCCCTGTGCGATCTCTGGCCCACTGTCATCTTCCATGATCGCTTCTGTCCCCCAGCTCCCGTCCTTGCCCTCACAGGGCTGACCGACTGCTCCCCTGCTGCCCTCACCTCTCTGTCCTGCTCCTCCCAGGCGACTAACCGTGTGCTCTCGGAGCGCCGGTCTGAGCAGAGGCGCTTGCTGAGTGCCATCGGCACCTCGGCCATCGTGGACAGTGACCTGCTGAAGCTCAACCAGCTCAAGGTGAGGAGCCAGGGCTTGGGACGGGGAGGAGGCTGGATAGACAGGCTGAGCTAAGGGGAGCTGCAGCCCCTGGGGCTGGGGTGGGGGAGACAGTGGCAGTTCTTCGGGAAAGGCCCGAGGGGTGCAGCTCACTGCCTTCTGCCCCCCAGTTCCGGAAGAAGAAGCTCCGGTTTGGCCGGAGCCGGATCCATGAGTGGGGGCTGTTCGCCATGGAGCCCATTGCCGCCGACGAGATGGTCATTGAGTATGTGGGTCAGAACATTCGCCAGGTGAGCCCCCGGTGTCGGGGTGCCCCAGCCACCGGGGCTTGGCGAGCCAAGGGGAGGTACTTGTTGGTCCCTCCCTCACGTAGCTGAGCTGCCTGGACAGTCAGTGAACGGGAGGAACATGGCAGCGCACTCCTGCTAAGGAGCCTCCAGTCTGGTGGCCGAGGATGGTGGGGGCTGGTGTGGAAAGGGTATTTGGAGGGGAGGTGGTGGCAGTCCATACCACAGGGGCCAAAGGACACCTTGAGATGGTGACCACTGCTGGCAGAGCCGTGCTCGGCATGGCTGGGGCATGTTGGGCAAAGGCTTAGAGGCCAAGTCTGTGAGTTCGAGATCACCTTGGCGCCTCTGCCGGGAAGGGAGGAAGCTGGAGAGCGGGAGCTTCGATGCCTAACCTGGGCCAGTCCTGTTTGGGGGCAGCATTGCAGGGGGGGGTGAGTGGTGCGAAGAAAACCAGGGCTGAGGCTGGCTGGGGGAGGGGTACAGGTTGCAGAGACCCGGGCCACAGGTGGGCAGTCGCATGGACTCGGCAGTGGCAGCACAGGTAACAGAAGTGTAGGTCTGGGGACATGCGCAGGACCAGGGAGGAAGTTGGTGTGTCGAGAATGAGGATGTGGGGAGTGGAGAACATTTCGCCAGGGCCTGACTTGCTCAGAGCACATTAGGGGGGTGCAAAGGGGACAGGGAGTTGGGGGGGGGTGTAGGGTCCAGATGAGCTCCATTCTGCAATGTGTGGCTGAGATGGGGGGTGGGGGTCGTGGAGGGGAGGCAACTCCACTGTGGCCCTCCGTGTGTGTTGGATGAAGTGTGTAGGGAGTGAGAATGCCGCAGGAAACGAGGCAGAGCCTGCTTTGCTGGGAAACAAGTCACTGCTCACGGCCCAAGCCTGGCTGGTCGTGTGCCTTTTGCATGGGTCCTGTAGAGAGGGCCCCGGGGCTGAGAAAGAGAGTCCTGCCTGCCCTTGGAACAGCCTGTGCAGTCCGGGCGTGCCGTGCCAGTCAGTGGGCCAAGCTGATCCCTGAGAGGATGGCTGGAAGCCAGGTCAGGGGTAGGTCTGTGTGGGCCCTGGGCTGGCGGCTGACAAACCACCCAGGTCCCAGTAGGGAGCTGAGGGGGCAAGTCCCTGAGCACCGCCTCGGCCCTGTCAGATGGTGGCTGACATGCGGGAGAAGCGCTACGTGCAGGAGGGCATTGGCAGCAGCTACCTGTTCCGAGTCGACCATGACACCATCATCGACGCCACCAAGTGCGGCAACCTGGCGAGGTTCATCAACCATTGCTGCACGGTGCGCAGGGGGCCGCCCCAGGCTCTGCGGGAGGGGGCGGGCAGGGCCAGCATGCTCACCACGCTCCCTCCTGCAGCCCAACTGCTACGCCAAGGTGATCACCATCGAGTCCCAGAAGAAGATTGTGATCTACTCAAAGCAGCCCATCAGCGTGGACGAGGAGATCACCTACGATTACAAGTTCCCGCTGGAGGACAACAAGATCCCGTGCTTGTGCGGCACCGAGAGCTGCCGCGGCTCCCTCAACTGAGCGGGCGGGCTCACGCCCACACCCCTATTTATTCTCCCATGGTGCCCTGAGCTCCCAGCACCCCCAGCCTTAGTGGGCTCAGCAGGGCCCAAGGGAGCCTCAGTCCCTGGGGGCAGCTTTTGCCGCCTCTCTTGCCCCCGCCCACCCCCACCCCCCTAATTTTTTTTCTTTGCGGAGAAGAAGCTGTAAATGTTTCATAGCTGCCAGCAGCTGTTTCCTGTGGAAACCTGGGCCGCCGGCCTGTACAGACCCTGCTCTCGGGAGCCTCCCAGCAGCCCTGCTTCGTGTTCGTGGGGACGGCCCCTCTGTGCCCTGCGCGTACCCCACCCCGGTTTAGGGGTCTCTTGGGGCAGTGGCCATGTTCTCCCCCCCGGGGGGGGGGGCTTTGCCCCCATTCCTGGGGACTCCGTGCCTGGACCCCTGCCTCATCTTCAGTTCCTGCCAGACCCTGTGGGTCGGCCTCCCCCCGGGGTCTGACACCTGGGCCCGGCCAGCGGGGGGTGGCAGTGGCCCTTCCTGTTGGGCTGGAGTGTACATATGTTAATAGTGCAAACCCAATGCCACATTTTTATAATTGTGATTAAACTTTATTGTACAAAAGCGCGTGGTCATTCTGGGACAGCGGGGCGGAGGACATCTGGGGAGGGGGAGGTGTGAGGTTTGGGGTGGGGAGAGGGCCTTCGTGGCAGGAGTCTAGGCCTTCAGACTTGGCCACCAGATAACCATGCCAGAAACCTCCAGTCGAAGCCCTCCCAAGCAGGGCCAAGGTCAGGCCACCTTCCCTTCCCAGAACCACAGCTGCTGCCGGGCCTGCAGTCTCCTGGGAAGCCAGCAGGAGGGAAGTTACTGGCTGAGGTCATGCCGGAGGAGTGAGGTCACCCTGTTGGCCACATCCTGAAGCCCCAAACCCCTCCATGAAGTCTGCCTCTCCCACCCACCTTCCTGGAGCCCTGTGGAAACCGGGGCTTCTGAGGGCTTGCAGAACAGAAGCGTCCAGCGGCCACTAGGGGGCCCTAGGGGACTTGCAGAATGCCCAGTGGCCACTAGAGGCCAGCGTGCCACGAGCTTGGAGACCAGGCTGCGCTGGCTGGTCTCTGTTCCTGGAATGGGCCAGGAGGAGGAGCAAGCGGAAGGAGGAAGGTGTGTCACCGGCCGACTGGCCCCCAGTCGACAAGTTTCCAGTGGCCAGCTTGGGCACACTGGCACAGGCTGCAGGTAGGCAGGGGTGACACTTGGGGCCCAGGCACCTCCCTTCCCTAGTCCAGCCCATCCTGCCTCTGGCACCCCCTTCCTGCCTGCCCCAGTTCCTTGCTGCCCCCACTCCTGTTCTTTTGCCCCAGAGCCTCTATACCCACCGCAGCCCTGGATCGGAAACCTTTACCCGGCTGATCTCGGTGGCTGTATTTGGCCAGGTCAGAGGCCAGCAGCCTGTGTGGCCCCGACTCAGAGCTTCAAGCTCCTCCCCAAGTAGCAGCTTCTGGGGGTGGGGTTGGGGGGGCGGCAGGCAACCCAGGTGAGCCGTGCTGTTCTCGCCCAGCATGGCAGACCCAGCGCAGACCCAGGAGCTGGTGTACCTGGTCACAGGTGGCTGTGGCTTCCTTGGGGAGCACGTGGTGCAGATGCTACTGCGGCGGGAACCCCGCCTCCGGGAGCTGCGGGTCTTTGACCTGCACCTGAGTCCCTGGCTGGAGAAGCTGGACGCAGGTGAATGGGAGAGTGGCGGGCGTAGGCACCCTTTCCCACTGCCTCCCTCCCGGGGCGGGGTCCCCATCCCTGTGTGGAAAAGCTGATGGCTGTTTATGTTCTAGTCCTGTGTGAGTCATGGGGGTGGGGGTGGGGGGGACAAGTGTCTCCCCAGGGTGGAGGCTGAGCCCAGCATCTGCTCCGTGGCCCAGTTCTGACAGGGCACTGGCCTCTCGTGCCCCGGCCACCCTCCCCTCTAGGCCCCGTGCGGGTGACTGCCATCCAGGGGGATGTGACCCAGGCCCACGAGGTGGAAGCAGCTGTGGCTGGAGCCCATGTGGTCATCCACATGGCCGGGCTGGTGGACGTGTTTGGACGAGCCAGCTCTGAGACCATCCACATGGTTAACGTGGAGGGTGAGCGCCCTGCCTCTCCTCCCCCCCCCCTCCCCATCCGGCTGTTGTTTGGCATCCCTCTTGACCTTGGCCACCATCCTGTGACAGTTTGTTCTGTGTGTGTCACCTCCCTGCCCCCCTCTCCCTACCTGTTGTGGTTCGCCATGGCCCTGAGGGCCAGACTGGGAACTCTCACCCCTGCGGAGAGGAAGATTCCGAGAGCCAGGCCCTCTCCCCACCCCACTCCAGGCACGCGCAACGTCATCGAAGCCTGCGTGCGCTGGGGAACACGGTTCCTGGTCTACACCAGTAGCATGGAAGTGGTAGGACCCAACACAAAAGGGCACCCCTTCTACAGGTGAGCTGAGCGCCCCTCCGGCTTCAGAAGGGCCACTGCCCTGCCACCCTAAGAATCCCTCTCCCACACTAGGGGCAACGAGGACACCCCATATGAGGCCGTCCATGCGCATCCCTATCCCTGCAGCAAAGCTCTGGCAGAGCGGCTGGTTCTGGAGGCCAACGGGAGGGAGGTGAGTCTGGGGAGAACAAGGTACAGAGATGGGGGGGCCGGCTCAGACAGGCAGGTAGAGCCAGGCCCCACTCAGGCACCCTGGGTGCCTCCCTGCCACCTCCAGCCTAGGCCTCAGTCTGCACCTGCCTTTTGCCACCAGGTCCGAGGGGGGCTGCCTCTGGTGACGTGCGCCCTGCGCCCCACGGGCATCTACGGTGAAGGCCACCAGATCATGAGGGACTTCTACCGCCAGGGCCTGCGCCTGGGGTCTAGGCTCTTCCGGGTGGTCCCGGCATCTGTGGAGCACGGCCGGGTCTATGTGGGTGAGGCCAGGGCTGCTGGGTGGTTCTTTGAGGGGCAGGGGACACACTTGCTATGAGTGGGTGGACGGCTCTCGGTGGGCCAGCAGTGAGGCCATGAGGACACACGAGGCCAGGTCAGGTGGGCAGGCCACAGAGGTGGGAACGAAAGGGTCACAAGAGGAAACGTTGTGACCAGGGTTGGGGAAGTGATGGCCTTGGCGTGTCGCTCTGCGGGCGGCTTCCCCAGCGCCCATCTGTGGGCCGGCCCAAGAGCAAGTGGGGTCTCAGGGGTGCTCGGGGGCCATGCCCCCTTCTCCCACCGGCAGGCAACGTGGCGTGGATGCATGTGCTGGCGGCCCAGGAGCTGGAGCGCCGGGAGGGGCTGATGGGCGGCCAGGTGTACTTCTGTTATGACTCGTCCCCCTACAAGAGCTACGAAGACTTCAACATGGAGTTCCTGGGCCCGTGCGGAGTGCGGCTGGTGGGCACGCGCCCCGTGGTGCCCTCTTGGTTGCTGGTGCTGCTGGCCGCCCTCAACGCCTTACTGCAGTGGCTGCTGCGGCCACTGCTGCTCTACGCGCCCCTGCTCAACCCGTACACGCTGGCCATGGCAAAAACCACCTTCACAGTCAGTACCACCAAGGCCCAGCAGCACTTCGGCTACGAGCCCCTGTTCTCCTGGGAGGAGAGCCGCAGGCGCACCATCCGCTGGGTGCAGGCCACAGAAGGCTGAGTCCGGGGATGGTGGGGCAAGGGCAGGCTGGGGCCTGGTGTATGGCCCGTGGCCCTGGAGAGGTAGGGAGGGGGTCCCATTCCAAAGCTGCAGGTCGGGGCTCCAGAGCAGAATGAGCTGTCCCAGGGAGCGCCTCCCGCCTCCCACCCCCTTTCAGTCTACAAAGGCTGCTGGGTTTGGGGGGCAGCATCTTCACTCTCCACCCAAGCCCGATGGGCCACAGTCTGACTCCACAGCCCCCGGGAGTGCTGACCTTTCTCAGGCAGGGAGTGAGCAGACGTTCCCTCAGGCCTGGCGGGGGCCTCGCAGCCTGGCAGCCACCACAGCCCTCAGGCCTGGGTTCAGAGGGAAGCTCCGTTTTCGGCCCTCTCATCCCTTCCTCCCTCCCCAAGAGGGTCGGGCTCACCTGCCCATTCGTCTGAGGAAGGAATCGCCTCTCCCCACTGCTGAGCAAGCCCACAAGCCCTTCTTCCCACCTCAGCCCCCTGATGGCCACCCGCCTGGCTCAGCTCCTGTCCTAGTGCCCAGCCCCATCTCTCTGTTCCAGTCACCCTCTGGATTAAAACTCTGCTTCCAAGCCTGTGTGTCCCTCTGCCTGCCCAGCGCCCGCTCACCCACCACCACCACCACCAAGGCGCTCACCCCGGCGGTGACAGAAGGACGGGAGCACACAGCAGACCCACTGTTGGATTGGTTGCTATTTCTCCCATCCCGAGGGGCTCAACCTGGCCCAGGGTGGGGGTGAGGGTCTCTGGGGACAGGACATGCAGGGCTGTGGGGCGGGGAGGGGGGCAGGCAGAATTTTCCTGTGTTTGATTTGTTTGCAACTTGGTCACCAATAGAGAGAAATGGGGCTCTGGGGGCTAACAGGAAGAGTGGCCTGGCCCTGGGCCCCCAGCCAGGCCCCAGGAGGCCTGTCCCTTCCGGGGAAGGGAGGGGGACAGCTCTAAAAACCAATAGAGGGGTGGGGGGCAGGGGGCTCATGTCAGCAAACAAGGCTACATCACGTGACACGCCAGCGACACGGGAACACACACCAACACACACAGCTGCACAGCAGGCAAGGGGTGGGCAGGAGGAACGGGGGTGGGGGGGGCACCCATCTTGTCCCCTGGGGGAGGGGGCTGGGAGGAGGCAGGGTGAATGCATAGAACACATCATATGGTCACGCTCAAGGCATGGCAAGAGCGTGCGTCAGCCCATGGGCAGGTGGGATGGGCTCACGGCAGTGTGCTTTGTGTGAGGCAGGGCTGGGGTGAGTGGGTGAGGGGAGCGGAGAGCTCTGGCCAGGCCCAGGACCACCCACGGGGCACAGGTGGAGGGGGGAGAGCACACGGTCGTCCGAGAACATGCAGAAGACCCAGCCACCAGACAGTACCCCAGGATGTGCACACAGCAGTCACCAAGCAAACACGCCGGCCGCAGGGCAGGTGGGACTCAGAACAAATAGGGCAGAGCAGGCCCGGGGGGCGGGCCCTAGGCCAACCGAGGCCCGGATGCCACTCCAGGACACGGCCCCGGCCCAAGGCTGTGGGACTTGTGCAAACACCAGGCCTGAAGGGTGACGGGGAAGAAAGGTGAAGGGGCAGGTGCTGGGGCCCATTCTAACATCCTCATGGGAGCCTGAGATAGGAGGGAGGGCAGGGCACACTTCCTGTCCTCAGAAGGGCATTGTGGGTATGGACAGGCAGGCTCCCCACAGGGCAGCCAAGCTGGGGGGGGTTTCACTTGTACAGCCACACTGACTCTCCCAGGCCAGAGCAGGGGAGCGAGAGGGCAGAGGAGGTCTGGAGGTGAGGTGAGGGTGGGGAGGTGCTTCAAGTTCTGGGAAATCATTTATCTGTGTTCACAGCCACACGAGCTTTCCCCGTGATAAAGAGATCCTGGGAAATACGGCACACACACACACACACACACACACACACACACACTCCCCCAAGTCCCTGCTTTTCACACAAGCACACCCACCCCCTGTGTCCATCCACCTGAGAGTCCATGTTCCTGGCACGGAATGGAGGGCTTCTAGCAGTGCCCTCTGCCCCATGTACCTCCTATCTGCTAACAAAACAGACTGGTTAGCCGCACAAGGTGAGCACGTGCATGCCTGGCTTCACTAGGAGGGAACGCTGGCCCTGCCCTCCCCGATCAGAAACCCAGGCCCCAGCCCCAGCCCCAGCCTCAGCCCCAACCTCAGCCCCAGTCCCAACCTCAGCCACAGCCTGGTAGAAGAGGCATTTAGTGTCACTTCAGCAGGATAGGTGTCCAGAGCACAGGACTAGCCTGCCCTAGGTGGCCCCTGCCACTCCAGTATGTCTGAAAAACCAACCAACCAACCAACCCAGCTCCAAACCCAAGTTTCCCCAAGGGCCTCGCCCAGGTTGGGGTGGGGTGGGGGTGGGATGTGTGTGTGTGTGTGTGTGTGTGTGTGTGTGTGTGTGTGTGTGTGTGTGTGTGTGTGTGTGTGTGTGTGTGTGTGTGTCAGACAGGAAGGGGTCATGCGCTGATCTTCCTTCTCCCTTCCCACTGGTTTTATCAGTGCCACTCCCAGAAAAAAAATCCCCTCCAGGAGACATGGCTGGGCACCTGGGCATGGACCTGTAGCTGCCCACCCGGCCAATTCAATGATGCTTTGGGGCTCCAGCAGGTATGTGGGGCCTGGGGGGGGGGGTCGTCTTCACAGGCCCTCCTGGCCTCAGCCTGCATGGGGACACTGAGGCCTACTGGCTCTCGTGGCACCAACCTGTCTACCGGCAGAGACCCAGGGAGACCTGGACTTGGCATGCTGCAGGAGCCCCAGGGGACCCATAAGGGCAGGCAGGGGGAGCCCCAGCTGCCCAACATCAAAGAATTAGGGGATGCGCTCCCAACCACACACCAGGAGGCAGTTCTCAGGGCAGGGCAGGGACATAGAGGTCTACAAACCTGGGTGGGACAGAAACACACTATTTAGAAAGTCCCCTCCCCATACACATTCACACTGACCTATTCTAGATAGCACAGGGATGCATGGATCTGTATCTGGACCCGCCCCAAAACGGGTCCAGAACGCAGCAGGGAAGGGATGACCTATCAGTGCTCGCACTGGGCTTGCTGTCACCTGTTGGGGATGCACACATATACACAGACGGAGCTAGCAGAGGTCGCCTGGCACCGAGGGAACACACACACACACACACACACACACGCACACGCACATCTCATAACAGCCAGGAAAAGTTTGTTCCACTTCATTCTGGGTGTCCCCCAAGGCCTGTGGGCATGTGGATCCTCGAAGAGAGGAGGGGGTAGTATCTGACCACACACCTGTCCCAAGTACAGCAGGCAGGGGTGGGGAGGGAGGGGTGCACTGGAAGAATTGCTGTTGTGTTCAAGTTCACACGCATTTCCACGTACATGGGTCTCCGCGCACGCACACAGAAGGCAGAATGGACTCGGCGGGCTGCCGGGTTGTACTGGACTGCAGTCTATACAACAAACACCCGGGGTGGGTGGGAAGGGGGGGCAGCGTGTTTCAGGCCACACACAGACTGGAGATGGGGCAGGAGAGGCAATCTGGGGCATCTACACATGTACACACACACACACACACACACACACACACACACACGGAGTGTCACACGTCTCAAGCATGTGCTGGCGGCATGCATGTTGGTGTGCATGTGTAATCACGCCTGCTGCTATCTACGTGCGGGGGTGGGGAATAGGAAGGGTGGCCCACGCCAGGGGGAGAACCAGGGCGAGGACCAGGAACTCCAGGGTCTGACGTGGGGGTGGGGGAAGGGGTGGGGCTGCCTGGGTCAGTCTTGGGGTGAGCCTGGAGCAGGGGATGGAGTCAAAGGGGTGGTGGGGGTATTGCTCCCAATGTGGTGGGGGAAGGGTCTGGGAGAGACGGGGTGGAGGGGTGGTGGGTCTACAAGCCCAGCGTCCCCCCAATGGATGACGCCAAGACTACCCCCAGCACCACACAGCAAATGATGATCATAATTTTCTTCTGCAGCCCAGAAGGGGGATGGGGGGGAGAGAGAGAGAGCCAGACAGGCAGACAGACAGACAGAGGGGGAGGAAAGACGGGGGTGGGGGGGTGCGGAAGAGGAGGGAAGAGAAAACAGAAATAGGAAGAGTCAGAGCCAGAGATAAGACCTTCGCACCTGATTTCATCACTCACCTCTAAGCCCCGCCCACTGGGCGCCCAGCCCTCCAGCCCCCCCTGCTCACCCTCCGGGCCTTGCTCTGATATTTCACAGCTTTCTTGGTGTCTGACACGGCTCGCTCCACGTAGTCCACAGAGTGTTCCACGTTGTACTCAATCCGGTCAATCATCTCGCCCTGCAGGCAGAGGAGAGGGCCCGTGGGGAGGGGCAGAGTCCAAGGGCAGAGGGGCTGCGGGAACTCCGGGGCCGGGAGGCAGGGGGTGCTCGGGAGCGTGTACCTGGCTCTCCACCAGCATGGCCATGTCCACAAACATGTCATGCAGCTCGCGGATGCTGGTCTCCAGTTTGATGATCTCGTTGTGCCGCGTCTCGATCTCGTTCAGCGCCTGCTTGGTCATCTGCGAGTCCATTTTGATCTGGGGCGGTTGGAGGAGGAGGCAGCTGCAGACCAGCCCCCTACCCCCACCCCCCACCGTGGCTTCCTATGGGAGCCGGAACCATCGCAAGCAGAGGGACTGGCTTCCAATCGGGCGTCGTGCCCTGTTGCAGTGGCCACCTAGGTGGGCGCCCCTCTCTGGACCTGAGTCTCCCACCTGCACCCACCTCACAGGATTGTTGCGAAACTTAGGGGAGTTATTTGTGCGGCCTGATCAGGGCCGTGCTGGTAGAGAAGGGATAAATCAGATGATAAGAAAATGAAACTTGTCTGCAGGGCCTGGCCGACGCTCCCCAGGTTCCCTGGAACCCAGGGAAGAGAGGGGAGGGGAGCCCAGCTCAGCTTCCACTGTCTCATCTTCCTAAAGTCAAAACCATCCAGTGGCTCTTCCCTCTCGCTGTTTCCTCTATCTGGCATCCGCAGAGCATCCTCCTCCGGAAGCCTTCCCAGATTGGTTCCTGTGTTCACCACCCTCCACGACCAGCCCCCAAGCCCCGGCCCAAGGTCCAGACCCACTTGCATGGTCATGTTGCCTTTTGATGATTTGACTGTGGGCCCACTGATGGCGGTCAGCCCTTGTCCATTTTAGTGCCTCTGCTTGGAACTGCCCACCAAGGTTCCCTCCCCCCACAGACAGGCAAAGCTCTCAGGGGGGCCTTCAGGCTAATGGACCCATTGATTTGCTCAAAGCCCAACCAACCAAGATCAGTTACTCAAAGAGCAATGGACGGACGGACGGTGGGCGGACCATCCCTGCAAAGGCTTCCAGTCCAGTCTAGAACCCCTCACCAGCGCCAGAAGCAGAAACACAGACATGACCGGGCACCAGGCCAAAAAACCCCTCAGGAGACACTAAGGGTAGGGTAGGGGTGGGGTGCAGGACCGGGCAGCGTTTTGTTCTGTTCTGCATAGGGCCGCACCAACTAGCAACGGCAGCACCACGGTTAGGTGTAGTGGTTACAAGGTGGGCTGTTAACCCCAAGGTCAGCAGTTCAAAGCCACCAGCTGGTCCTCGGGAGAGAGGTGAGGTTTCTGCTTCTGGATCTTGGAAACCCACCGGGGCCGTTCACCCTGTCCTGTAGGGTCACTGTGAGTCGAAATCGATTCGATGGCAGTAAGCGTGAGTTTATGGTTAGGGACGAATTCATTCTTCCCAGGTAAAACGCCGAGGAGCGGGCACACAAAACTGCAGCTTGTTTTGCAAATCTGCAAAACGGAGGCAAAGGAGCCGCGGCAGCAAACAGATGCATTTTAGTGTCAGTCCTGAAACTGGACCCTGTATCGGGCCTCTGAAATGGGGGTGAGGATTTAATGAGTTCGTGCATGTAAACCCCCCTGCCCGCTCAGCGGAGCGGGGCGTGGGGAACCTCCCTGCCCTGTCCCTCTGGCCATTCCCCAGTCCCCTCAGCAGGCTTCCCCAGGGTGGTCTTGGGGCCTGGAGCTCCGCCTGGGCTGAGGAAGGACATCAGGGTTAGCCTCCACCCACCCCAGCCCCGCCCCGGCTCACGTCGTCCGTGAAGATGGCCAGCTTGCCGCTCTCCAGCATGTCTTCCAGCTCTTCGTTGGTCGTCGTCCTTCCGGCTGCCAGGAGAAAGGACTCCCGCTCAGCGCTGGCCGGCCTGGGCCTTAGTGGGTGGGGCGGGGGCCCGGGCGCCCACCCTGGGCCGCAGGCAGGGCTGGGGTCTGGTCAGGGGCCGGGTGGGGTGGACTGGGCGGAGCTCACGTACTGATCTCCAGCTGCCGCTGGATCCGGTCCTTGCAGCGGTCCCGGTACTTGGACTGGGTCGCATTGTATTCGGTCATGACCTCCACGAACTTGCGGGAGAGTGTGGAGTGCTGCGGGGATGGGGGCCGGCAGCGCGGGGGGGCAGCGCCGGGGCAAAGAGGGGCAGAATCAGGGGGCGGGGGCAGCGCCGGGGCAAAGAGGGGCAGAATCAACCTTCCGCCTCCTGGCAAACTGGACTGTGAGTCCAGCCACACAAGTTCCCAGGCCCGCGCCCATGTCAAGCCGCTAGCAGCTGGGGACACCCCAGCTCCACTCCCCACCCCCCTGTCTCCATCCCCCTCCTTGCACCAACCCTACGGTGAAGCCCCGCCTTCTTCCAGGTGTAGCCCCGCCTTCTTCCCCATAGCCCCGCCCCCGTGCGCCTCCGCTGGGCTGCCCCTCCCACCCCCACACACACACCTGGGTCTTGCGGATGCGGAGGTCGGCAGAGGAGCGGTTCAGGCCTTCCTCCTGTTCAATGCTCTGCTCGATCGCTGCGGGACAGAGGGCGCAGGGTCTGGCCTGGCACCGGGGACTTGTGGGGCGGGGTCCGCTGGACACCCCAGGCGGGCCTCAGACCCGTGTCCAGGGCCCGCAGTACAGGATCCAGGGTGAGGGCGCAGGAGGCCAGCGGGTAAGCGAAAGGCCTTTGAGGTGGGTCAGAGGGCAGGCAGGGGGGGCGGGGGAGCTCTTGGTCGCTAGTTATGCTGGTGGAAGGATCGGATCGTGGAAAGGTCCACAATCAGTAGGCCCCGCCAGCACCTCGCCCGACCCCAAAGGGGTGTGGGCTGAGTCTGGAGGCGGGGGTGGGGGGCGTGTTCTGGTGGAAGGTAGGCACTTCCAGGTGGGTCTAATTTTCCTTTGGAAAAGTCTACGACGCCTCTTCTACAGGCTGCTCCAGAAACACAGATGGCCGGGCTCTGCACCAGACCCGAACCAGGCCATTCAGATTTTCTTTTTATAAAAAGGCAGTGTGAAGCTCTACTATGCTGGAGGCTGCAGCGGCAGGGATGGATCACCTACCAGAGGTTCCTCAGACCTCACCGGGCGGGGGAGGCCCTTCCTGAGAACATAGCAGCAAGTTCTACTGGCTGCAGGGAGAGACAGGGCTGGATGGTGCCAGGGCTGCCCTGCCAGCATGGTGGCATAGTGGCACTGTGAAGGAGTGACAGCTCTGGTCCAACAGCTTGGGGTAAGGTGCCGGCACCCGTGCCCAGGGATGTCAGCACTGCCAGCTGTGGTGTGGGGCCCGTTCGTACTTGGTCTAGTTGGCTTGTTAAACTATTCAGTGCTACCAGCCGGACAGTTGAGTCAGAAAGGAGACTTGTTTAGGTACAATCTCACAACTCAAGGTCAAGCCCAAGTTCATGACACCATACAGCTGGTGGAGAACAGAGAAGACCGTGTGTGTGTGTGTGTGTGTGTGTGTGTGTGTGTGTATGGGGGTCTGGAAAGTTTTCTAAGCCTCTGCCACTTTTCCTCCTTTCCTAACCCTTTCCAGAACCCCGAACCGTGGAGCCTGCACGGTTCCATAGGGAGTGTTCAAGGTCACGGCTCAGGGAGACGGAAGGGGCCACTGCATCCAGGGGCTTGTAAACTGTGTCCTCCCAGAACCCTGCTTCTGAGAAGGGACCTCAGGAGCTGTTGCTGGGGGTAGGACCCTGGACCCCACCCCAGTGTCGCACCCCCCCCCCCAGCTCAACATCTGTCTGATACACTGGAGTCCTTTGTAAGGTTTCAATTGGGGGGGAAACTTTTTTTGTTGTTATTACCCCCACAAAAAATGCCAGTCAGCCTGGAAATTGCTTCCACGTTTCTAACTGCCTAATGAGAGAGCGGAGGGCAGAGCAGGTGGCCAGCGTGTGTCCGTGGTCGAGGCGGGACTCTGCCTAGATTTGAAGACAGTGTGCTTGGGACTGTGGTGTTCCAGCACATTCTTCCTGAGGACAAACGGTGTTTGTGTTTACAAATCAGCCTCGGGAGCCTACACGCAGGTTCCCTGTGTGTCCAGGAGGACCTGGAGTGCACCTCCCCACCTCCCTGGACCAAGGTCAGTGCTCCTGGCAGGTGCAGCGGGCGGCTAGCCAGCCGAGTTGCGCCTTTTCCCCCGGAGTCTAACAAGGTGCCTGAGCCACAGTGGATGCCAGGTAAGGGCTTTCTGGTGCTGAATTACCAGGAGCCTACAAATTAGCATCACAGTCCCACTGCTCGGCTCGTCCCCTGGCACCGGCAGACAGGGAGGTTTCCAACCCACAATGCTTTGGGGGAGCTTAGTTATTACCAGCACCCACGTCCTTAAATTAGAGTGTATACATGAGCATTTGGCAAGTCCCTCCTGAAAGCCTGCCAGCCCCTGATGTCAGCCACACAGTCCAATCTGTCCTGAGCTGAGGACACCAATTCAGAAGCATTCGCTGAGCCCACCTCCTGGCTTCTGGCTGCTTCGCTGGGCGCTGTGCTGGGGAGACAAGGGACAAGGGCTCGGCTCGGAAGCCACCAGCAAGCCAGGAGAGCCGGTTCAGGCTCACTGAACCAGCAGAGCTCAGGTGGACGGAAGAACCTCTTCGCCCTCACCTCCGTGGGATCTGGGGCAGCAGGGGTGGGGAGAGAACCCGGGGCTTTGTGCTTCCTGGCTGCAGATGAATTTGGTTCATGGACGTTTATAGATGGTCTAGGCAGGGCCAAATTCTCAGTCAGGGGATCGAACCTCCTCACCTTTCAACTTAGACCGAACCTTATTGGCCGTCTTCTTGATGTCTGCGGTGAGGTCCTCCAGCTCCTGTTTGGTCTCTGCAGGAAGGGGTGGGGCGTGGGGGTGGAGAGCAGGCAGGTGAAAGGTGGGCCCCACACCTTTCTCTCTGCCCCCACTCCAGCCAGCAGCGGGCACTTACTCTCATCTGGGTTGGGGGCGGCCAGGATGGCACTGTGCTGTTTTTTCACCTGTTCCACATCCTCCGACAGCTTCTCAATGCAGCCCCGGATCTCCTCCACCTGGGGGCAGAGCACTGGCCATACCCTCTGGGCCAGACACGGAGCCCCAGGAGGTTTGGTGCCAGGAAATGGGCCAGGCCCAGAAAGAGTTGATTAAAAGCCAAAGGGGTGGTGGCGGAGGTGGTAGTGGGGGATGGCGCAGACGTAAGGGGGAGAGGCCAGGGGAGAAGGAAGTCAGGGGCTGAGGGCTTTAGGAGGCTCTGTTACCTGCTCAAAGAACTCATCCATAAAATGGTCTCGGTCCACGTGGACCACCTCCTCCTCATCGTCACTGTCTTTCGCCTGGCAAGCAAAGTGAGACGGGGGCCGTGGGCAGGCCTGACCCTGGTCCCCGAGGTCAACGGCGGCTCTCTGGCCCTCTTCCCACCACACCCTCGTAGGCCCTCCCAGCGCTCAAGGCGGAGTAAAGGGTTCTTGGGAGGGGACTGAGGCAGGCCTGGTGAAAAGCGCACAGGCAGTCAGGATGAATGAACACTGGACACCTCGGGGAGCAGGGTCCCAGAGGCCAGGGTAGCCGAGAGTCCAGAGGGCACCTTTGGAGGGAATTGGCAGAAGGTGGCCTCTCTGCCGTGGACGTGGCCCTGTGGCGGCAGAGGTGCCCTGGGGAAGTGGGGGAGAGGGGGGCAGCTGTTACTGGCCAGTCAGTATGGAAGAGTCCCACTGTCTAAACACAGGGAACCCGTCAGCCTGTGTTCTCCCACGAGAAGGGGTTTGGAGCCTGAACCGCCCCTACTCTTGTCTTCCCTTCCCGTGGCCACCACTCCATTAGCCACACGTCCCAAAGACAAGGTCGTCGGCAGGCCAGGCCCCCGTGAGGGCTGGAGACGAGGCCCAGGCAGCACCCCTAGCCGCCCCCCCTGCGTCGTCCTCCCCACCCCCACTCTCCCCCACCTCAGCTGCTCTGCCTGCTACAGACTCCTCCCAAAATATACACTCCCTTTCACCCAGCCCCTTGCAACCTACACCCCGCTCGCTCGCTCGGATTCCCCAATTGCAACCTGCAGCTGCTCAGCCCTCCGCCCCCAGGGCCCAGAGACAAAGGGATTCACCCACCCACACGGCCACCGCCACCGCCAGACAGACCAGTGACACAGACAGAAGGGCTGACACACAGGCACACACAGAAATAGACCCCCGGGCACCCACACAGAGATGCGCTGACATGTGGAGGCCCACCCACACGTGGCAAAGCTCTCCGCTGACACGGGTGGGCGCCCACACCCCGGAGCCGTTCTGGAGGGCCCTGGCCTGTTTTCCCCCCAGCCTCTCCAAGCCTCAGGCCGGTGTACTCTGCCAGGGTCAGGTCAGGGTCCCAAGACACCAAGCTCCTGGCTCCAGGCTCCTGTCTTCCTGGGACAGGTCTGAGGGCCAAACCGGAGTGCATCGAGCTTAATTACAGCCTGAAACACTGGGTAGCCCCAATGGAGATTTCAACAGCCTTCATCCTGATTTTCAAAGAGCCGGGACTGCATCTCACAGCCAGAACCAGCCTGCCAGTTCCTGACGGTACCTACACAACGGTCCTTGGCTGGGTTCTAATGGAGAGAACCCACAGAACCTCAGCAGGGTCCATGCAGGTCAGAGACAGCACCTGATGAAACCCAGACGGGGAGACGGATCTCAGACAGGGCCAGATGGGACCCCCGTGGACTCTCGGGAGCTAAGGGAACTGGGGATCCACAGCAACCAGAAGAGCAGGCTCAGTCCCGCAGAGACCTTCAGCTAGACACTCCTCCGGAGGGCACCCCACTTCCCACAAAACCCCTACCCAGGTAGAATCCCGGGGATTCACCCCCCTGGGCATGTAAACAACCCCAGATGTCTGCCTGGAAAAGCGCTTCCTCTCTCTCTCTCTGCCCACAGTGGCCCTGAGAAGAAAGAGGGGCACCGGGTGGGTCTTGGGAGATGCAGGTAGGACTTCTGGCTTCTCTAGCCTCCATCCGATGCTGAGAACAACCCAGTTTGACCTAGGTCCTGAAGACCTTTGGGATGAGGGGTTCAGGCTCTCCATCCTCAACACGCCAGCAGCTCCACGTGCCCCAAGCCATTCCTGGGCACCTTCTCTGGTGCCAAGTGTCCCCCACCCCAGCTCACTGCCCAGCCAGCCATTCAGCCAGGAGACCTGTCTGCAGCCTCTTCCCCTTGCCCTCTCCTGTACTGACTCGAGGAAGCGCCACTCTTGTTCCTGCCGGGCATGGGGCCAAGTCTCCGCCATCCTGCCCCTGGGGCATCCTGGGAGAGGGAAAGAGGAAACAGCTTCCCGTCTGGTCTAAGAGAACCAAGCATCCTTTCTGACTTACGAAGCTCTCTTGACCTTTCAGAAAAGCTGAGCAAAGCCCCTTGTCCTCATTTCACGGAGCAGGGGACAGGAGGTCAGAGAGGACAGAGGAAAGTGGCTTCTCCAGGGGAACACCGACTGACCGGAGCCCGGGAGCCCTGGGATCCCTCCACCCAGCACCTCTGCCGTCAGCTCTCAGGTCGAACCAAACTCATGTGGGTTCTGATTCATAGGACCCGAGAGGACAGGGTAGAACTGCCCTTGTGGGTTTTCGAGACCGTAACGTTTTACGGCCTCATCTTTCTCCCGAGGAGCAGCTGGTGGTTTTGAACTGCTGTCCCTGTAGTTGGTAGCCCAGCACAGAACCACGATGTCACCAGGGTGCCCAGCTGTCAGGTCAGCCTCTGCTAACGCTCTATTAGAGTGGGGTTCTGTGCCCTGGAAACCTCAAACCAACCGCCAGCCCACCTCCCTGTCCCCCTGTCCCCCCTCAAAAAAAGGAGAAAAGAAACAAACTTACTGCCGAGTTGATTCCCGCTCATGGCGACCCTATAGGACTGGGCAGAGCTGCCTTTGTGAGTTTCTGAGCCTAACTCTTCGCGGAATTAGAAAGCCTCATCTTTCACGCAAGGAGCAGGCAGCTGGTGGCTTCCAACTGCCATTGTGGGACTTAACAGCCCAACTTGTACCCCACTAGGCCCCCTGGGGTCCCCCGTAAACCTCGCAAAGGATCATCTGCTGACACAGTTTGCCCAGGCCTTTGATGTTTGTTGCCCATGTAATCATCCTGAAACTCTGTCGGAACCTTTGGCAAGAGGCTTGCACTTAGGCAAACATTTGCATTGTATTTGGGGTCATGCAGAAAACTGCCCTGTGCACTGCAGAGGTGGGTGCCCTAAGAAACCCCTTTTGTAGTTGGGTGCCCCAGGCATAAAGAGGCAAGATCACCCGTCCCGGGGGCAGCAGCTAGGAAGGCCAAGGGACTTCTCTCAGAGCCTCAGTCATTTGTAAAATGGTAACTGTGTGGCCTGCCCCAAATGGCACAGGTGAACAGTGAGGACTGACAAAATGCCAGCCCCAGCCTGGGCACCTATGTGCCTCTCCCACCCCCAGATGAGCATTCGGAGAGGTTGTGTGACCGGCCTAAAGCTCCACAGTGAACAGGGCCAGCCGGGCTCATCCCTTCCCACACCTGCATCCTGCTAACAGATGGCAGTCCCACCTGGTCCCACTGGACTCCTGTAGCTAGTGATAGAGAGCCAGGAGGGAGGGGCTCGTGACCATCTATTGCTTTTTTCGTGAGCAGAAGCCAGACAGGACCCGGCAGTTCCAGTCTCTGCCTGACCTGCTCTGTGACCCTCTGCAAACCTCGTCCCTCTCTGGGCCCCAGGCCCATCACCCGTGAAATGGGCAGGCTGGTGTGGGGGTTCTCCGAGGGTCCTCCCTGTGTGTGGAATCGAAGCAGGCCCTCAAGGATGGCTGGAGCCCGAGGGCCAGCAGTGGCCGGGAAGGTATTTGAGAATCAGATGGTCCAATCTGCCCTAATCTGGTGCCTGCTCTTGTGACAGTGGGGCATGCTAGCCTCCGCTGGCTCCCTTGCACACTGACACCGATGATCATTCTGGTTTCTGATCCCTCTAACTCAGGTGTGCTGCTGATCAGGGGCCAGGCCCCCCAACCCTGCTTTGCTTTCTCCTTTGGACCCCTAAGAGCCATTCCATGAGGTAGCCACTCCCTCCTCTTTGCCCATTTGACAGATGGGGAAACGGGGACCCAGAGATGAGATCACTGGCCCAACATCACACAGTTATTGGAGGAGAGAAGGGGGTGCCTGGATTTGAACCAAAACTCTCAGCTCTTCACAGTTCACCAATTCCTGAAGGCGGAAGAGGATCCAGTGAGATGGTGCCAAGTTCCAGAACCTTCTGGAATTTCTTTGGAAGCAGGGGGCATCCAAGTCTCACCTCTAGCTTCAGCCTGGCCTCCTCAGGCCCTTCTGAGCCCAGGCCCTCTGTAGCAGAGACATCGGGGCTCGTGTGTGTGTGTGTGTGTGTGTGTGTGTGTGTGTGTGTGTACAACACAGACAGACACACCTATGGGAGGAGCTGAGGGACAAGCCAGCCAGCAGACCAGTGACCAAGGGGACAGATGGCATGATGGCGACATAGATACACCGTGGCCAAAACCAAGGTGGGAGGAGATGGGCCGGGGATGGTAGGAGAGTCCCAGTGAATTAGCCACCTGTATCTACCCATACCTGCTTCTCAGGGGGCAGGCATCCTAGGACCTAGAGCAGTGGTTCGCAACCTTCCTCATGCCACGACCCTTTCAGACAGTTCCTCAGGTGGTGACCCCCAACCATGACATTATTTTTGTTGCTACTTCATAACTTACATCAAACTTACATCACAGTAAGTTTGCTACTGTTATGAAAGGGTCGTTCGACCCCCAAAGGGGTCACAACCCACAGGTTGAGAACCACTGGTCTAGAGGCAGCAGCTTCACCCCGCACCTGCCCCACCCCCAACCTTCTGTCCATCTGTCTCCCTGGCCCAAGCCCCTCCTCCTCCTGTGTCATCATCCAGCCGGCACTCCGACCTCTCTGCTCTCCTCCACTTCCCTGCCTTCCCCACCTTCTCCTTCTGCCCCACTGGGTCACTCATTCATCTAACCCATCTGTCTGATGGGTGCCAAGTTCTCATCTGGGTGCTGGAGAGAGGATGGTAAAGGAGATGGGTGAGGGAGACAATGGTGGGAAATAAATGGGATCACTTCTGAGGTCACTGGGTCGGCAGAGGAAGGGGAGCCAGTGGGGAGATGTGGCAGGGAGACACGGTAGGTCTGGGGCGAGAGGGGGAGGGAGGTGACATTCAGCAGGATGGTCAGGAAGGGCCTCTGGCCAAGGGATACGGGATCTGAGTCCTCAAGGAAGCAGCCATGCCACAGTCCCAGGGAACAACATTCCAGGCAGAGGGCCAGCTCCTGGGCTCTAGGGAGAGGGGACAACAGTCCAAGCGGAAGGCACGGTGTTCCCAGCAAAGGGAAACAGCGTCCCCAGGCAGGGAGACCTGCATTTCAGGCAGCGGGAACAGTGTTCGGGGCAGAGGGAACAGTACGGGCAAGTGCCCTGCAGCAGGGACGGACTTGGCCCCAGGTCTGCTGGGCAGCAGGAAGTCCTGTGCGGCTGGCGGAGATACGCTGTCCTCCAGCATGGCCCTTCTCACCCAGCCGCCACTCATTCCTTCTCTTCCTTCCGGTCTGAATTTCTCAAGTGCTCCCTAGGAGTGACCTGGCTGGCTCACTCACTCCTGGGTGCTCCACATGTGCGCAGGGGATTCGGCCAACGCCCCCCTGCCCTGCAAGCCCCCTCCACCCTCAGGCCTCACCTCTCCCCCGCTTGGTTCCTCTCACCTCTTGTCCCAGACTCCCCATTCCCTCTCGCTCGCTCTTCCAACTCCACAGCCACCGCCCACGAGCCCGGGCGATGCCTTCTCTTCCCCACCTCGGTTGCTCCCGGTGACCTCCTCTGGGGCCTCATCCCCAAGCTCCGGTGCTTGGACCCACAGACCCCTCCTGGGCTTCCTAACACCCCATTGGAATCTCAACATCCCACCTAGCACCTCCCAGTTCGCAGCCTGCCTCCAGGGCATGGTGAGCAGGAGACTGAAAGCTCTGGTTCAAGCCCCAGCCATGTCACCAACCGCTCTGTGACCTTGGGCAAGTCATTTGTCTCTCGCTCTCTCTCTCTCTGGCCCTCAAATTATTCCTACAATCAATCGGGATTCTCACCTGCAAGCCTCACGCGCCCCCCCCCCGCCCCCACTGATCTGAGGTTCCCCAGGAAAGAGACGGGTTCTCAGTGTCACTAGGAACGCTCCATGGAAGCAGCGGCTGCCCACCAGGTCCTCCTCCAAGCCCAGCTCACGGTACGCCTCAGGACCGGCCCTGCCCATCAGGTGCTACTGTGACTTAACTGGCAGGTAAGGAAACTGAGACCCAGACAGGTGAAGCAACTTGCCCAAGGTCACACGGGATGGGGCAGAGCCAGAATCTAACCAGACCTCCGGTGCGCAAAACAGCGATGCGATCCACATACCTGGGAAACCTGCTGGGGACTCTCAGGGATTGAGGGAAAGGCAGGTCCTTGGCTGACACCCCTCCCACAGCTGTCCCCCCACCCACACCCACCCCCACACCCTGCCTCCCTCTCACCTCCCAAAAGCTTTCAGACACTCTTCCACAGCCCCCCACGCCCGCGGCCCTGTCCAATCCCTCCCACCCACCAGCCTCCCTGCTCTCAGAGGTGGGGAGACCCTCCCCCCCTACATCTGGCAGCTTCTTCCCGCCTCCTCCAAATCTCCAGTTTCCAGAGCTGTGACTAACACCAAACCTATCAGCATCTCCCCAGCACTGCCCCCCACCTGCCCCGCCCCCCCAGCCGCCAGCCCTCCTCACCTAGGGTCCGGGGCATCCCGACCTACTCAGAGCAGGGCTTCCTGGCCCCAGCCTGCCCACCCTCTCCACCCTGTCTTAGCCCTCCTTCCCGCCCCCTCCTTCTAATTATACCACAATTCCACCACCACTTCACCCAGACCGACTTTTCGTTTCTCTGGGTTTGTTCCTTGGGTTGTTTGCTTGTTTTTTTTCATTTGTCTTGGCAGCGGTAGATCTGGGTTCACATCTGCAACCCTCACGCCTGTGACCTTGGCCGAGTTATTTCACCCCCGGCCCCTTGGGTCTCCCCCACATAGACCGAGGCAGTCCTTCTCCCTGTCCAGGAAGTGGTCTGAGGGGGACGGGACGGACGAAGTGGGTTCAAGGGAAGGGGGATGAATGCAGAGCACCTATCCTGGAGCTGGCCCACTGGGCATGGTCACCTACCTGCCTCTTACTAGCTGTGACCTTGGTGGTTAACCTCACCTTTCCGGGCCCTCAGTTTTGGCTTCCATAAAATGGGGATGCAATGCACTTAAAAAATTGGCCCAAAGAGGGCACCATTTCCAGGCACTGCCGTCATCTGGCCGTTGATGGGTTTTGTGGGTGATTTGTCTCAGAGGACACCCCAGAAGCAGCAGCATAGGAAGGCCCCTTAGGGGTTCCCCGGCTATACTCTTTATGGAAGCAAAGGCCAGGCTGGTTTCTTCCTTGGGGGCTGGTGTGGGGAAGGCTGGGGGGGTTGGTTTCAAACCGTCAGCTTTTTGGTTCACCAGCGTGGTACAAACTGCTGTGCCGCCCTGGGACCTTAACCGGTTCACAACAAACGCAAGGCTATACCGGTACCAACCCGGGAGGGTTGCTGTGACGCTCCAAAGGAATGAAGCGTGTGTAAGGCACTCGCACGGTGGCTGGCGCGGGAACGCTAGCGATTATTATTGTTATTATTATCATTACTGCCATTTCTCCTGGTACCTCGGGCGTAGATCTAGTGAAAGCTTCTTACAAAAAAAGGTATCTTCAAAATTCCCTCCCTCCACCCCAAGCTGCCTCATTTCCTCTCACTTGTCTCCAGGCCCCTTTCCCCAGTCTGGCTGGAATCTGTCCCCTGCCCCCAAATCCAGGGGCCAGGATTCAAAGGCAGACCTTTGGCACCCTCCCTCCCGTCATCCAGGCCAAGACCTCTGTTTCAAAGGTCAGAAAAGCAGAGACAGGGGCAGCTTTGCAGCTGGGATCCCAGTCTGACCGCCCACCCCCAGCCACTGACTTGGCAACCTTACTTAGGCAAGTCCTTTCTCAACCATCTCCAACCCTCCATTTCCTCATCTGACAAATGGGGTCATAGCTCCTGGAGGGAGCAACCCACAGTCTCCCGCAAAGACACGGTGGAGCAGGGGGACCTTGGCCTGGGGCTCGGGTTTTTATTACGATGACAGCCCTGGCCACGCGCTCTGCCTACCCGGACCCAGATCTTCTCTCCAAATCCCCCAGCATCCTCAGAAACCATTCTCACACCGCCCTCCACCCACCCACCCCCACCCCACCAAGTTCTTCCAAACAGCAAGCTCCACTCCAGACACCTGCGCTGCCACCCTCCTGCCCTGGCACCCAAACACAACCGAGTGCCCAGCCAGACTCTCGGGGCAGGCCTCTGGGGGGCTGCAGCCCCTGGGGCCACACCAGTCTCTCCCCCAGCCCAGCTGTTCAAGATGCCCCAGTTCCTCCCCCTTGCAGGGCAGTTTGTGTCACACAATCCAATTCCACAGCCCTGGCGCCGTGCCTCCTCCCTCTCTCTTCTGCACCCCCATCTCCCACCTCTAGGGTCACCTCACCTCCCGGCAGGCCTTGGCTGTCCAGCCGAAGCCACCCCTCTCCTCCTATCGCTGTGTCCCCTCCTCTTGGGGGTCACTCTCACACACGTTCATTCACTGCCAGCTGTCAGCATCTTGGCCCTAACCTGTGTCCTTCCTCATAGCCTTCCTCAAATCTGGGTCCTGTGGGACTGCCTGCCCGCCTGGCCCACGAAGCCTCCCACCCTTCTAATTTGGCAAAGCTGCCCAGGGGATGCGGGCAGCTACCTTCTTCCCGGACATCCACTCTCCTCCCCCCATCCTCGGCTTAAACACCCCCCCCACCCCCCCGCGCCCGCTGCCACCGTCCTGGGAATGTCGGGTGACGGAGGACCCCCACCCCAGACTTCTCCTGCTCCCCGGTGTCTCAATGGCCTACGGCCCCTTCAAGCCACTGTGGCCAAAGGCAGGTTCACAGGGACATCAGGTGCATCGAGATCTGGGGGCGCGGAGCCCCCCCGGCCATCCACCTCGAGTCTCATCGCTCGCCCCCACGTCCCAGCGCCTCCCCCACTCCATCCCCACGCGCTTCCCACATATTGGGGTCCCGCCCCCCATCTCTCCCCACCCCAAGCTCACACTCCGCAGCTCCTGGGTCCGATCCTTCA